TCCTCGCGTGTCCCTGGGGGCAAGGGGACCTGAGCGGAACCCTCCCTCCTGGCAGGCAAAGGCACCGAACCTACACAGCGGCTAGGAAGGGCAGAGAGGGACCACAGGTAGTATCTGAGAGGTGGGTTCAAGACCTATGTCATCCCAATTTAGGATTTGTCAGCACAAATAATCTCTGACATCACACACGGCTGATGATGCACTCTCTCAAGAGGACTTTGGTAATTAAACACACTCCTTTGTGGGACAGGCTGCCTGAGAATGGTTTAAAGAACAATTAAAGACCAGGTCAGGTGGTAAGTTGCCGGTGAGAGTCAATTTTGTCCTGGGGTACAAGTAAGCAACGCTTCCAAGTTCTTCCCAGATACGGATGCTGTGGCGTCAAAGAGAAGAGCACGATCTTAAATGCTCCATCAGAGGGGAAGGAAGCCTGTGAGGAAAGCAGCTTTGGAAGAGCAAGGATGGACAAGCTGTCGTACCAAAACATGACAGAACAGGAGGTCATCCTCAGGAGGGGGCACGTCACCTTGCCCACTTCACAGCAGGGCTTTGGGCTTCAGAAGGTTCTATCCCAGCCAGAGGGCTGTCTTTTAGCTTCATCCCCACACCCTAACATCCCACCAGCAAAATACTAAGAGGCTCTTACCAAACTAAACTAACTAACTAAACCAATACCGGACTAAAAAAAGTTTTGATCCAATTCCCGTCTCTCAAGCTACCCTGAAGCAACATTGCCCAAAATGTTTTTAGTACTCCTAGAGAGCAAGATTTACAGTCTGGTTTGGGGAGGTGGGAGGTGGGGAATCTCCCTTAACTTTTTATAACCTTTAACAGATAAAATGCAGATACAAATGGATTCGCCAATTTTGTTTATCAGATTCTATTACACTGCTTGCAGACAAAGCATTTCCCCATGAGACCCCAACACATTCACCTCCTGGACTACAAACAAGTTAAAAACCTGTAGGCAGTTTTTAAGAACAGCAAAATTGGAGGCTAAACATGATCACACATGTGTCAGGGTGAGCCCATCCTCCCAGCTTCAGGAGGAAGATGCAGTTTCAACAATCTCTTTTTATCTATTACGATATAATCAAGAGCTACACAGTACAGTCCACAGCGCCTTAGCATGATGAGCTGAACTGTGCTCTCAATTCCTTACATGGCTCCTCATCAGATATTTATAACCAACATAACTGCAAGCTAAATTCCCCTCAATGTCACTGACCTGTGGTGGACACTCAGTCCTCCCACAAACTTCGTATGCAGACCACAAATTTAACATCTTGAGCAGACAATCCTGTTTCCTAGCAGTTCTGAGAGACACTTGGGGGTCTTGCATTAACACCGTCTCTTCAGGGACTTGCTTTTTCCAACCTCTGCTTTTTCACCAGCTGCCTCAAGACTACAGGATTATACAAAGGATTGACAAAAAAGGATCCACAAGACATTTTATTCAACACGTCGTCCAAGATATTTGAGCAGTTCTGACTCCAGACAAGTTCTCTTCCCTAGTGTCCCAAGTCATTTAATAACTGTTAGAAGTCTGCATCTGTGGGGGTAGATTTTGTACAGCTACCTATTTAAACCAACCAGTAAGACTCAAACCTGGTCATCTGAACACACAGTCTTTGGAGAAAGCCATCAAAAGGTAGTCTCAGCCTGCAAGTGTATTGTCAGAGGCACATTCCAGAAACCCAACTGGCAAAATGAAAAGCCTGCATTATGCTATATATTGTATTTCTTACAATTCAAACAAGACTGGAGACAATAGCATCTCAGATTAAAAAAAGCTTTTGCCATTGAAATAGGGACTTACACTTTCAACCACCTTGTAGCTGTTTTATCCAGGAATAAAAAAATGAGTTAAAACCAAAAAAGTTGGTTTTGTCCCCTGTAAAGTTTCCCATATAGTTTCCTGTATCAAATAACTTGAAAAATGCTTTAGAAATCACTTTAAAACAAGT